TCTGAAAATATATTATCTTATTAGTGATTTTTTCCATTAACCCAAGTCAGACCGGAGAAAATTATTATCTTAGAGAAATTATTAATTAATCGAGTATTAATTTAATGAGATTTTACTGTAATTACTTTTGTGTTTGCCACTAATGACAGAAGAAATGAAACCATCACTATTGAGTAATGTAATAATGCACGTCGCAACTTGACTGCTCTTCGTTAAATATTTGGTTCACTGGATTTAGTCTAAACATGTTCACTTAACTAAAGCATGTTTTTAAATATTGTACTAATTCCAACAACTTTTGCTTCTTAATTTAATTTAATTCTAATACCCGTAAGGCCGTGACAGAAGCTTGGTAGTACTTCTTTGTTTTAAAAAAAACTTGGTAGTACTAAGGAATATTTCTTCGGTTTCTATTTACTTGCCAAATTTTGATTTGATACATCAATAAAGAAAATAATGATTGATATAGTGAGTTTATCATTTTATTTTATTACTTGATAGGGTCCCAAATGTATTTTATTCAAACATATTAACTCAATTTTAATAAATTGAGGATATAATTGGAAAAAAATATTGCCCAGATTTATCAAAAATGACAAGTAAAATGAAAAATTAAACTAAAACTCTTTGACAAGTAAATAAGGACGAAGGAGTATTATTTTTGGAAAAATTGTATATAATAACAAACTATTAGTTCAAATTAAATGTTATAACCATAGTTTGATTTAATTGTACCCCATAGCAAACTGTTGTTATTTCGCCTCTCTCCTGGTGAATCTCACTCGCCACTCTCGTTCTCTCCCTTGCCTCTCTCGCTTTTATACAAACGCAAATGTATAAAATGCGTTTGTGTTTGTATAAAGCGAGAGAAAATTGTATATATACATATATTTTCGTTTCCCTCTCTCCCCTCTCCCCACTCCCAGATCTCGCTCGCCACTCTCCCAAAACTCGCTCGCTCACTCGCCTCTCTCACTTTATACAAAAACGCAAATGTATAAAATGCGTTTGTGTTTGTATAAAGCGAGAGAAAATTGTATATATACATATATTTTCGTTCCCCTCTCTCTCCTCTCCCAGATCTCGCTCACCACTCTCCCAGATCTCGCTCACTACTCTCCCAGATCTCGCTCACTCACTCTCCTCTCTCACTTTATACAAACACAAATGTATACATTGTGTTTGTGTTTGTATAAAGCGAGAGAAAATTGTATATACAAATACAAATGCATATATTTTCGTCTTGTACACTTACGATTATACAAATACGATCTTCCCCTGCTCAGTTTTCTTTTGTCTTTCTCTCTTTCTCGCTTTATACAAACACAGACTATACAATTGATCTTTTGTATATGTATACCAAAACATATTATACAACTGCTTTCTTTTGTATATGTATAGCGAAAGTATACAATTGTTTTCTTTTGTATATGTATAGCGAAATATACATATTGTGTTTGCTAAGGAGCGCAATTATGCAAACTATAGTTATAACATACACATATGATTTTTATGTTTGCTATATGTGAAAGTTGCTCATAATTTTTCAACCAAAATTAACTAATTTAATTTTTTCCCTCTTTCTAAATAAGAGTAGATAATAATAATAAAGGCAATTATTAAAGTGTGTTATGGTTGGAACTTTGAATTTTCGGACTGTTTCTACATGACAACAATTTTCTAACTAATTATTGAATAAATTATAATTTATAAGAGGAGAACAAAATCTTGATCAGATATGGTATCTATGATATAATATGTGATTTTAAAATACTTTGTTTTAGTTTTTCAAAAAGGATTGAAGAGGATTAAGCAAAAGAAATTAAATGGCCTAGATTTATTCATCGGCCGTCCGCCGGCGCTAATGATTGGATTATTGGAATCATATTACATTATATACAATAATAAACACAAGCTTCAGTCTTATCTCCGTAAAATAAAGATATTATCTCCGATACACCTTCGATTAAAAAAATTGTAATTAAAAATTGTAGATTAAAAAAAATTATATCGATAGCAAAATAGTGGAATAATATTAGATATTGATCATAATCTTATTAATGAAGTCTTAACTCCTATATTATATTTTAGAAGTCAAGATATTCTTGTTTACATTTTGTTTCTTACTGTTAGCTTACTCTTTCTACTTAATTTCTAGAAAGGGGAAAGTGAAAACTAAAAATTATTTGTCACGTTTTCCAATTTGCATTTTTTCATGATTGAATTTACCCCGTGTTAGAGTTTTGTCCTGATTTTCTTATTATATTTGAATTTTATTTTTTTCTTGAATGAAAGTTAAAGTATTATCATAATTATTTTTACTTTTTTCTGAAATGAAAGTATAATTCTCTTCCATAATTGATTTATTCTTTCTTTAGCGGAAAAGTTTGAGACTCCATAAATTGAAGAGTACCCCTCTTCTCATACCAAGAACATAATAACATCCACAATGTAGACATTTAAGAATTTTGTTTACGGAGAGATTATTTTCTCTCTCTACAAATTCTATGCTTAGTATTAATTTTTAATTGTATAGGTCAATTGGTCAAACCATCTAATAATATATGTTTCTTCTAGTTAACGTGATTTGTAATTATAAGTTTCTGTATGATGCAACGATTCATTTGAACCCAACTTAATGTTAACCCAATTAAACCAACACAATCAAGTTGAGTCATTTAACAAGGGGAGGAAAATAAAAATTATTATTATACACACACATTAAAGAATATACACAACGATTAACATTAACTTGACTCGAATTCTCCCAAAATGTTGTCCTATTCATGTCAGATCCTTCAAATTCGATACACACTGTCTTCAATTTTAAAGAGTCTGAGTAACATAAATTATAACCTGACTTTGGAATGGCAACTTAATTGAATAGCAAGATGAGAATGCACCAAAATTGAAATGTCACAATAGCTATTAACTATTGCATGAATCTTGAAAATTTTGAGCATCTTCACTTTACCATGCAAAGTTAAATAGGATGTAAAGTTCAAACTTCCAACCTCAATATCCTTAATAAAATAAGGACTTTTTACCAATTTGTCCCCAATAATATTAGCATAACTTCTTGTATTTAACTCTCCCTTAGATGGAACAGTTCCATATTCAATTACTATTTCACCCACTGAATTGTTACCATGGTAAATAAGTGAAGCTATCGAGTCCTCGAATTTGAAGCTACCATAATTCGGATTCTTAATCGTGATTATCAACCTTAATGTCACGTTTAGGCTTAATCGCGACAAGATTTGGGATTCAATCTCATCTAGAGATATAGGGTGGAGAATGATTTGAGGTTTTTTGGGCTTGAGAATAGTATGGAACAGAGTGATTGAGACAATTATAAGAATAATTGATAAAAGTAGAGTAACACCACAACAAATCTTGAAATTTCTCATGGAATTTTTGTGTCCCGCTCCTTCCATTTTTTTGAGCTGAGAGTCTATCGAAAACAACCTCTCCACCTTCTTAAGGTGGGATAAGGTTTACGTACATTCTTTAAAGGGAAGTTAGAGATATTTAGGTGTCAATTTATTTTTTTTTGTGATGAACTTACTTGGAGAAAATTGGTATTAATACAAGGGGAGTTTGATCTTTATTTTGATTTTCACTTTGAAAAATTGTTAAATTAAACCATTTGATGTGCAATTTCAAATATAGACTTATCTTTTGTTAGTGTGTAATTACTCAAATCAAAATTAAGTTCATCATCTTATTTGACATCTTTTATGTGGCATTCTGCTGGTTAATGTTGACCATATTTTTGTGCTGATTTATTTAGAACATTTGATAACAAATTTCAAGGAGTTTCTGGGCCTAATTTCAGGCTCATTAGCCCACAAGTAGCCCAGCCTATATCATAAAAAATGACATAACAAGAAAGTAAAGAAGGAAAATTTGGGATGAATATTTTATAATTTTATGATCTTAAATTTAGAATAAGTTTAATATACCAGAATTTTTTTACTTTTATAGAATAAAAATTTAATGTGAGTTATGAGATTAAAAAAGATACACTTTTTTCTGAATAAGACAAAATAAGCAAATAAGACAAACAAATTCAAACTGAAAATACAGAAATCTAAATGGGACAAATTGGAAGGCAAAAAAAAAAGTAAAATGCCCCCATGCAGGATCGAACTACAGACCTTCAGTTTACAAGACTGACGCTCTACCACTGAGCTATACGGGCTTATTTGATGCTCTGTGACACTGATACATAAATAACTGAAAAGTATTGAAAAGAATTACTGAGAACTAGCAAAAGTTATTTTTTAAAATATAACCAAAAAAATAGTAATAATTTTTCTAGTAATTTCTTTTGTAAATCACTTCTGAAAAAATACACTCAAAAACGCTTTTTAAAAACTTGATCAAATATTAATTACTACTCAAAAGTCTTTTTAAAATTTATATCACACAAAATCACGTTTTTTACAAAAATGGTTTTTTTCCAAAAAAAAATCTTAAACGTAAAGCTGATTTTAGATTTTGTTCCACTATAGATTTGCTGGTAGAATAAGGAATTTTTACCTAGATACATGCAAAATAATAAAAATCTATTTCAAAACCGTGTCATACTGATTATTTTATTTTATTTCCTTTTGATCATATTTCCCAATTTTGTTGATCGTAACGCTTTTCGTTACAAGTTTTTTTTATAGTTATATAAAGCCAAATTTAAAATAGCTAGCACTTTTATGTGATGCATTTTTTTTTAGTCCATTCTAAAAATAAATAAATTTATATTTGATAATAATTTGATTTATTATAATTTATAATCACATAAATATCTATAATTTATTTTAAATTATAAATTATAAAAATATATCTTTTTTATAAAATGTAAAATAATATCACATAAATTGAGACGACAAAAAGTAATTTTGTTTCAATTTTTTCTCGTCATTCTCGTCTTCCAATTGTCATGCCGGTCACCCGGCCCATACAAAGACAAAATTTACATACACAGAAAAAAATCCCCACAAACAAAAAATACTCCTAAAATATTGCCACTCTGTTGTTTAGCTTTCTTGTTTTTTTCTCTTTCGATCATCATCAACAAGCACTAATTCTTCTTAGACGGCCATAAACAATTTTCCCAACTCTTTCTTTCACTAATTTTTGGAAAACATGAATGATCTTCTAGCGGTTAGTTTATTTTCTTGACCCTTTTATTTGTGTTTTGATTACAGGGAAATAAAAGAGTGAACTTTTTGCTTCCAAGATTTCAGTTTTTCTATCGCATGTGTCTTGCTTTTGTTTAATTTTTCTGTCAATTGAATTTTGTATGTTAAGTTTTGCTTATACTAGTCTTGTGAAGTTTGAAAATATTGGATTTTTATGTAAGTTCTTGTGGTGTATCATATGTATCAATGAGAGTTAGTATTTTCATTAAGGGGTTCAAAATGTGGGGAAGTAAACACACGAAGAAGCGAAAGGGTTTAACATCTACTATTTATACATAAAAAAATTAGTTTTAATCATGTATAAAAAGTGTAATTTTCTGTTAAAATGAACCTCTCGGCACTACTTGGCTCCGCCCCTGAACTGAATACTTGGTTATTTAACAAGTAATACCAATCTTTTTGTAGGTGGTAGAGTTTGGAGTCTAGAATTAAGGTTACTCCTTCATAGCCTATTTATTTACTTGCTTTTTGTTGTGTTTCCTGCTAGCTGTTCTTAACTCTTTTTGTAATTTAACAAAGCTTAGTTTTTTTTTTCTTTGATAATTCTGTTGTTCGGGTCAACTTGAATGCATCTCGGGGTTCCTGTTACACCCACCAACATCATACCGCTAATTCTGTCCATCTATCCATAAAGGTTTGGACTGTTAGAACAAATCACGTATTTATACCTCCGATAGAGATTACCTCATGATTTTGAACCCATTTCATTGACCACTAGGCCACACCCTTGGGTGCAATTTAACGAAGCTAACTGGAGATTCATTTATAAGATTGGATTTTGTTTGTTTGTTTTCATGATAATTTTTATCTATAGCACATTATCTTGTACTGCAAGCACTTGTAATGAAGATAGTACCTTGATCACTATTTGATTTCAAGCAAGGGGGATGATGTGATCTTGAAGTTTATTGTCATGTAATTTCTGTTCTTGTTTCAGGATTCAAGTTTTATTGCTGGCAAAGATAATGCTTCCAAAGAATCTGATATCGAGATGGGAAACCGATTTACGAGGAGCCAGTCAGATTCTGGAATCGACAACTTTAACAAGCAGGTATTGCTTCACTGACCCCTGAGTTAGTTTTTGAGATTATCAGAGTAGTGCAGTTGTCATCTAAAGATAAAACTATAAGTACCAATTTTTCAAAAGGCTTATCCTCCCATCTCCTTGCTCCTGACATATGGTACAAAATCTTGTAGATACAAGAAATCGAGAAACAGGTTGATAAACTTTCTGGTTTCCTGAAGACCCTTAAGGTATCATTCATACAAATTCTTTGCCTTTTCTTTTAGTTTTAATTGCTGTTCAGAAGCCATTTAGATCTATTTGTACTTTCTTCTTTTGAGAAACTGCATATGCAACTAGTATAATGTCTTGGCATCATTCGTGATTTTACATGCTTTAAATTTTCAGTAAAATCAATCCTGAAAATTGAGTACTACATCTCCCCAGTGTACTATAGATGTCTCTTGGTTAAAAAGAAATTGATAACAGTATAGTTGGTTTCATATCAGGGTTCAAATTCCAATAGTGACAAAAATGATAGGTGATTTCTCCTCTGCCTTGGAGGTGGTAGGTACTTGCCGAAACAGTTGAGGTAGTTGCTTGTTCTTTTGGACCCAAAAGACAATCTTGGTTGCCCATATGAGAAAATAGCGGGTTGATAATAGCTAACTAGGCAATATTTCATAAGAAAATCAAGATAATAATTGTAGTGTTGAAGGCCAAAGAGTCTTAGTTAAATCAGTATTTTGTTTTTCTCCTGATTTATATATGATCAAAATAACACCTCCCCAATGTACTGACTAAGTCTGTTACTTAAGAAGAAGTGTTAGAAGATGTATACTTGGTTTCATTCTGCAAAAGATCGGAACTTTTAGTAGAGAACTTTAGAACAATTGGGTTGCTTGCTTTAACCTTGTGATTCTGTTGGATTGTATGTTGAGGAATATGACATTCAAGAAACGGAATAGGATAATAAACAGTTTAGAATGGGGTCAACTATAGGAGAACAGATGAAAAAAAACGAATCAAGTCACTCCTCCCGGATGGAAAAATATGTTCTTGGCTGCCAATCTGAGAGTAATCATTTTATAGATTGTTGAATTTGCTGTCACAAGTACTGGAGAATAATCAGTTTTCACTTTTGCCTTTATTACACACTTTGCATTTTGAAATAAAATGCTTTAGTTTAGCGATAAATTGCACATGCCACTTTAATCATTTCTATCTGATCAACATTTTTTTTTACTTTCTCTGGTCAGAGATTATTTACTAATTGGAATTATCTTTCAGGATGCTAATGAGGAAACAAAGTCTGTAACTAAAGCATCAGCAATGAAAGGTCGAATAAGTGCTATTTCATTATGTCTTGTATAGCTAACAGATTCACTATAAACTTTTATTGTTCTAATCTCTTTTACCTTTAAGTTATTATTATATTGTGAAATATAACTCTTAAGATTGTTAAGTTTCTCAGTCAGAACTCAAACGCAGGCTACTATTTTTTCAATCCATTTACTATAATGCACTTGTGAAATATTAACATAGATAAGTTCATCTATAGCTGAGGAGAAAATTGGCCTTTGATCCTTTACTACTAAACAACACTGAAAAGTTCGTCTATCTCTGTGTAGTGTTTGTTTTTTCGTAATCTGTAGCCTGCTTACCACAAGCTCTCAAGAAAGCATTTTTTACTTGTTTCCAGCTATAAGGAAGCGGATGGAGAAAGATATAGATGAAGTTGGGAAGATTGCAAGAAATGTCAAAGCAAAAATAGAAGCAACTAATAAAGAGGTAATTTGTCTATTCTTTTATATTTGGATCAGTAACACAGTTTTTGAGTTCAATTTTCATCACTTAAAAGCACTATAATCGTTTTCTTTTCTTTAGAACTTGGCTAATCGACAAAAGCCTGGATATGGAAAGGGCACAAGTGTTGACAGATCCAGGACAAATATGACCAAGTACATTAATAAACATAGTTTTTCAATATTGTTTGATGTTATTTTCCACTTCTTGTGCTTGAACAGTCGTAATTGTATGAGTGTATTTGTTCTTTTTAAAAAAAAATATTGTTTTTTTTAATCGCTGATCTGCATTCTGCAGTGCCTTGACAAAGAAGTTCAGAGATGTTATGACGGAATTTCAGGTATAGACAAGTCTTGTTATTTGCTTTGTGCTGTCTTTTGTTCGATTAAATTGCTTATAAGTTATGTTCCTCCAGACATTAAGACAGAGGATAGACAACGAATATCGCGAGGTTGTAGAGCGAAGGGTGATCACAGGTTTGGATCTCAAACTTTTTCCAACAGAAATATAACTTGAGATATGTGCTTATCAATATTTGAATATCCATATGTTGATCTAATATGTGGTTTTATTGTGTTTTTATCTCACAACTGAGCAGTAACTGGAACTAGACCAGATGAGGAGGTGAGTGCAAAGTCTTGCAATTGATAATCCCGATCAATAAGTTTGTTTTTTTGCTGAACTTTATTCTAATGATCATGTTAGACAATCAACAACTTGATCGAAACTGGAAACAGTGAACAAATCTTCCAGAACGCTATCCAAGGAATGGGACGTGGACAGGTACCTCTTACTACTTCATTCTACTGTATTTTCTCTCTTTCGACTGTTTCTGAATTTGGGACTTAATTTATGTGGCATCCACTTCTGGTGTCTTCTCTCCTTGTTTCTTGTCAACATATTATCACTAGGTATATATAAAATGTAGGGAAAGCAAGGTTTCTACTTTCTACGTTCGTTAATTCTTATATTCATGTTGAACTAGCAGAAACAGTACTAGCTGATCTCATTTGAATTCCTTTGACGTACTAACTTTGTCCATACGCCACTCCTTGAATTCCACGTATCTTGATATAATTAGTTTGGAAACATGAGTTTTATATATGAGCGCACATCCCAGTCGTATTTTAAATATCTCGTCACCTCATCAGCAAGCATAAAGCAGGACTGCAATCCGAATAGATTTTCTGTACTTTTGAGTGTTCTCTAATAAATTGTGTGTTTCCCCTTTCCCCTCTAGAAATTTAAGCTACATTAGTATGTCGTTATCATTTTCCCTTCCTATTTCATCTGTAAATATGCCCAAACTGTAGGTCTTAAGCACCGTAGAGGAAATTCAGGAAAGACACGATGCAGTGAAGGAAATTGAGAGAAAGCTTCTTGATCTGCATCAGATATATCTTGATATGGCTGTTCTGGTTGAAGCTCAAGGAGACTTGTTAGATAATATCGAAACACAGGTTTGTTTTCAACCCTCCTATTATTTCCTCAGCATATTCCTACCTTAAAAAACGAAAGGGTCTCCACTTCTCTGTGTCGAATCTCTCAATGGAAATTTTGCTCAGGTGACAAATACAATCGATTATGTCCAATCAGGGGCAATTGCTCTTCAGACCGCAAAGAAACTACAGAAGAGGTCTCGAAAATGCATGTTTGTTGGCATTATAATTTTCTTAATTATAGTAGGCATAATAGTTCTCCCCTTCATTATCAAATCTCAACCTTGGAAGAGTAACAAGGGAGCTTAACTGTTTTGTTTTCGAGCTATGCAACGCGTGTGTTTGCCTTTGGTTTACTGGGGGATAGAAAAGCTAAGATTCACAAGAGTCGTGTTAGCCTGTGTATAGCTTCCTTGTCGATTATATTCCTTTTCGTCTAGCCACACTTCGTTAACTAGCTTTTGGTGTTAACGGTCTGCTAATTGTTCATGAATTTGTGGATTAGTATACATCATAGTCACTTAGAGGCTTTATAAGTCATAAAAAAAAACAGCTTAAAGAGGAACTTGATATGAATTTTTCCCCTTTTTTTGATACTATGTTGAAAATTACCCCATCTTTTTGCCTAGTTTCCTTAGTTATTCTCATTGTTGATCAAATTAGTGAATTTTAATGTTCTCTTATATATTGCTTTTTCAATTTAAAAAATTAAAGAAAATATTGTTATTGTTTTTTAATTAGCTGTCCCAAGTTGCGTGTAAGTCTTTTTTTCACCATCTTCTTCCCTTCAAATAAATAAAATAAGTAGACACTTGGCTATGTATCATTGTGAAATTTGAAAAAAGTAATTCTTGTTTTCAAAGTAAAAAGGATTTTTGAAAATCAAGTTGTGTTTGTCCATAAATACAAATTGAAGTTGTTTTTGACTTTTTGTGAGTAACAAATATTAGGGGTCAACTCGATTGGATTCATAATTTAAATTTTTAGCTAACCAAGCAAGGTCTACTCGATTGGCAAAATAACAAGTATTATATCAAACACGATTTTAGATGTAGTTTCTTAAATGACCCTAAATTATCAAAGTTTAGATATTAAACAGGTTGTTGTACTCCTTTGATGATTCGAACTCAACCTAGGAATAAGACCTGTTTATCATCCGAGCAACTTCCTCTCTTTAATCAAATCCAAAATGGTTACTCTTTCTCGATGTTGCCAATTGGGCACAGCCTACAATGTAATTATCCCAAGAATCTCTATTGTTCATCATTATCGTATTAGCTCTCAAAATCCTCCTTTCTCATCTTGCATTGTACATAATATACTAATACTACTTATAAGATTTGTACATTTAACAGTACCCAATAATGAACATGATATAAATGGTTAATATAAATATATATTGAACATGATATAATGTATATTAGATATGTATATTTAACACTACCTAATGCAGATTTAAATTTAGCGTATATGTGCATCGATATACTATATATTGTACAAAATACCTTTAACTGAAATAGATATTGACCATGGCATACTATACAGTGGCGGACCCAGAAATTTTACTAAGTGGGTTCAACATATAAAAAAAAATGAAACAAGTATTAAATGTTGTAGGTGGGAATCGTACCTGCGATGCATCAGTCAAATTGTAACCATTTTGCCGCTGCGTACGTGTTACTATTGGTTTAAGTGGGTCAAATTAATTATATAGTGTTTCAAAAAACAAATTGAATATATATGTATATACCATGTATTTTTTCGACGAAGTGGGTTCGTATGAACCCACTTGCAACAAGGTAGGTCCGCCCATGATACTATATATTAGATATACCCAGAAATGCTTCCTTATTTATAGGTAGTATTTTCACTAATATGGAGATTAGTAGGGACTAATTAATTTTATGGGAAAACTATCTAATTAGATAAACATTCCTACTATATTTACTAATTTTCCCTATAGTTTAAAATATTATATATTGTCTCACTAATTAATAATTTGAAGTCAGATACACCTAGATACATGTATTTTACTACGAGATGCACTAAAATAGGGAGAGAGACGAGCGTGATAATCTATCTAATCACACTAAATACATGTATTTGGGGTACCAAATACATGAAGAGTCAAGAGAGGAGAGTGGCTAGCGAGATAGGAAAGAGACGAGCAAGAGACACTACAAAAAAACTGTGAATTACATGGGGATTTTCCTGGGGATTAGTATAAAATTCGCAGGAAACTTATTTTCCTGCAAATTTCATACTAATCCCCAGGAAAATCCCCATGTAATTCACAGTTTTCTTGTAGTGTAGAGTCAGATGCATGCAAATCCACTTGAATACAGTGTATCTGAAACAAATTACAAATTCTAGTAAGTTTCATTATAATGGAAAGTGTAGGAAAGGAAGGTACTTCGATACTAAATTAGTGGATTTATGTAAGTTACCCTAATTTTATTAAGAAGAAATTAAATGAAAGTAAATACAAATTGTAGTGTCTAATAGAGTAGTTGTAGTCTCTGGTGATAATGTTTCCTTAATAATAGCTAGTACCAGAATGGAAATTTGTGATAACCAATTAATTTTATTAAATATTCTTCATATTTAGTTGACTTTTTGTTTAATAAAAGACATCGTCTCTATTGATCATTTATGTTAAAAAAGTTACATATTTTAATTTGATATACCAAACTTTGTACGTGACCAATGAGATGAGACTAGTCTAGCCTACTCAATCCTTTTATACGAAATTCAAGGAGGTTCATAAGCTATTTGGGCATATATAGTATGTTTGACTCGAAATATATAATCTATCAGATTTAATCTCCTTATTTATAATTTTTTTATCACATCCAATGGATTTCTCATTTACTCATTTATAAGTTGTGCAATTTTACTTAATCATGGCTATGAATATGATAGCATTGTGAGTTGTGACTCTTCAGTTTTAAAATCTAGTTGCATGACTTTAACAGGAAAAACTTATAGTTATGTGACAATTTATGAAATTTCCCTGAAAAATTAAACAATTTATTCCTCTGGATTTATTTTCAGGTGAGATATGCAGTGGATCATGTTAATATGGGTACAGATGCACTTCAAACTGCAAAGAGCTTGCAGAAAAAATCAAGAAAATGTATGATGATCGCCATAATTCTGCTTCTAATTATCGCAGCGATTATCGTTCTCTCTGTGATTAAACCGTGGAAGAAGTAATCAGTTACTCAGAATACACATTACTTGCTGTTAATCCTTCAAATATTCTTCTATGTATCTTTGTTTTTCTTGTGAAGTTGTATCTTCCTCTGTATCTTAATAATGTAATTAGTTGCCAGTATTATTATATTGAATAATAAATTTTGGAAAAGCATCAAATAAATCCATTAATAAGCAACTGGATACTTTAGCACAACTTGGAAGTCCAAATATAGATAAAGATACAAATGATAACACTACTAGGCAATTTGAGGGACAAAATAATGCCCAAAATGATTCAAATCCCTGAAGAATTATTTAAAAAGCTTAAAAAATACATCTTTATTGTACTTGAAGTTCACAACTTAAAAATTGGGATAGTTCCAAAGTTCCACACATCTTCATGATCCAAAAGAAATCACTTTTTTTGTTGTTTTTCTTACATTCTTGCTTTTGCAATCACCACACTTCCATCACCTAAGTTTGTTGTTCCAGTCCTTGTCCATTTTGCCTCAAATTGCTCCTCAGTTACACCTGTAATCACCATATTTCGAATACAATGTTACTAATAATTCGTGTCAAAGTTTAAGTTTTATGCACTGACATGTAAAAATCATGTTTATACCTTTGCCCATAGCAGCAGTAGAGGTGATGCCTCCCTGGACAGTCCTTAGAACTCTATCATAGTAATTAGCACCAGACCATTTCTGATGAGCCAATGTGTCAACACCATGGCTCCTTTCCTCTCTTTGTATTTTCTCCACATAGGCCAACATTCCCCTCTTGGCGAAATCCTTGGCAAACGTGTCGACGATGAGTGCATCAGCATGGAAACCAGCTAAAGTAATGAACTGCCAGCAGTAGCCTAATTTGGCTATTCTTGGAATGAAATCCATCATTTGGTTATCATTCATTCCTGATGCATCCCAATTGAATGACGGAGACAGATTGTAAGCCAACATCAGCTCAGGCCTTAGAGACTTCACTCCTTCAGAAAATTTTGTGCATTCCACCATATCAGGACTTGATGTCTCCATCCAGACTAGATCACAGTATTCGGCAAAAGCCCATCCGCGAACAATTGCAGCCTCTACTGAACCCTGAAACCTGTAGAACCCTTCTCTGGTTCTTGGCAAGTCCCAGTCCCAAAAAAGATTTGGAAGGCCAAGTCTTTCAACAACCTCCCTAGCTTGTTCGTGAGAAAGACATTTCTCATAGCTCGAATGATTCATCCACTGGTTCAATCGCCTCTGTTTCTCGTGCTCCGCGAGGTTCATTTTCTTGATTGCATCAGTGACACATTGAGAAAATGTCTTGAGTTCAGCCATTCCAAGCCAGTTATCCTCAATGGCTTGAAGTTCCGGCCCTGTTTTGCCTGCAGCCATAGCTTCAGACAAAAGAGTAGCCAAACCCTTGCCCTTGAGATTCGGGTTGGAAACACCCAAAATGAACTGGTGATCCCTTGTATCCACATTGGTTTGGATCAATGTGGCTGCAACCGCATCAGTACGAGCCACGAGGACCGTTTCAGTCCCCATGATATCAAACTGCAACCTTGCAGCCACAAGCCTGTTAATATGTTCACTTACAGCAACAAGCACTTTACCAGCCATATGACCACATTTCTTAGTAACAGAGGACTGATCCTCAATGTGGACACCAGCAGCACCGCGCTCCACGAAAAGCTTACACAGCTTAACAGTAGCAGTTGCACCACCAAATCCAGTGTCACCATCAGCAATGATAGGTTTCAAGTAATCAATAAAAGGGGTTCTTGCCCTCTCCTCTCTGCTCATGCTCATTCTTGCTTCTCTCTGCTTCCTATCATGATACTGCTGAGCAAAAAACAAATGTTCCACTTTGTTAGGAACAGTGTCATAAGGGTAATCAGCAAGATCAGGCCCTGGTTCATTAGTACTTGTGTGAGTTGAAGAACACTGCCAACCAGAGACATAAATAGAATCCAAATGCTTAGCCATCATGGTGACTTGAACAGGGTCAAGTGCACCAAAAGTCCTTGATGCTGTCCCATTAGCTTGATGAGTCTTGAGTGTCCTCCACAGCTTCTGGGCTAACTCATTTGATGCATAACTTTGCCTCATAGTTCCTCTTAGTGCCACCACATCCCTAGCTGAATATGCCCTCTTGGTTAGCCTGAACCTCTCTGTGTTCCACCATGCTTGCACCTCTGCTGCCTCTGCTTCAAACCTCCTCTCTTCTTCCATAATCTGACACAGATCGAATTTCAAGAGTCAAACAAATATATTTGAAATGTATGTACTATAAGTCAGAATAACTAACAATTCAAATGTGACACATAAATCAGGACGAAGCGAATACTAAGCAAGAAAGAAAAAAAAATGTTTCGATCATGTCGCTCCATTTAAATCCGTCTAAAGTATAAAAAAGTTGTAAAGATAGTGAGATAAGAGATGATCTTACCATTGAAGGAACTGAGAAAGATGCAGCCATGGCTAGAACTTTTAATTTTTTTTTCTTTTGTGTATATTTCTATACAATTGCAATGATGAATTGTTTATGCAAATGGTTGAGGCAAAGAGGCTCAATTTATAGTAGTAAAGTTGTTAAAACTAATACCAAATGCCAAGTAAAGGATAAGGAAAAAAAAAATTAAAAATAATATTTCCACATCATTTTGCTAAATAATTTAAACCTTATCTACAGTATTTACTTATCTTGATTGATGAAGATAAAACTGAAGCAATTGCCCAAAAGGTGTTGATATCGAGGCAATGGAGGTTTCCAGCCATGACAAATATTGCAACTATGTTTGTCCTTTTCCTTATTTAGATGACCTCATTTCTTTCTAATTTTAACAACTTTTAATTTCCTTTTTTAAATTGTTGTTCTTTGTATCATCCCACTTTTCTCTTTGGTTTTTCTAATCCTATTAGCTAGTAAATCCAGGATTAGTTTGATTGTTTCTAATCCTAGCAGCTTAGTAGATCATCAGTTAAGATTTTGTGTTAAAATGCATTGATTGAATATGTATAATCATTTATTCAGAACTTATTGGGTATTTGGATTGATTTCTTACCATAATTGAATATTTGGCTAGTCGTTTTTCTTCTAAGGAAAAATGTTTATGACTCTATAAATAGAAGTTTAATTTTTCTAATTTGACAATATTTACAATGTGTATTAGGGCTTTGAGAGTTTTGTGTAGGAGGAGAATTTGTGTGAGGTTATTTCTTTCGATGTTGTGTACTCTCTTTTATATAATGAATTGTTCAACTCCTCTCGTGAATGTAAGTCGATTGACTGAATCACGTAAAATATTTGTGTCTGTTTTGATATATTTCTCATTTGTTTTCTTACTCATGGTTTTCGAAGTTTATTTTGCTTGCTTCCATATGATGTTTGATTATTTCGGTCCTAATAGAACTCATTAAATCAGTTGCTTTTTCTTGGAATTTGATTTCTGATCATTTGACTACTAGTTTTTAATCTCAAAAGGTCACATTTCTTCATGATTTTGATTTTGATTTTCTTCAAAAAAAAATGTAACTTTATGAGATAATAATTAAATCTTCTTTTCAATTTATAAGGCACGGTCAAAATTTCAAGATTCAAAATTTTTAAACTTTGATCATGAAATTCGGACATGTAAGATTTTAATTTTTATTATATGAAATTTGAATATTTCAAAACTATGTAAAAAGTATTATAAATCACACTAACTAATAATTACAGATATTTAACAGAAAAAACTAATTAAAAAAATGGTTGGCTCTCGAAATTTCAACTTGCCACATAAATTAGAACAAAAAATATTAATTAAGTGATCATAAGAGAAATCAACTCACTATAAATGTTGGGCTACGTATTGGTCGGTTTATATCGGTTTTGAAGTTTATCAGTTTGACTTATTGGTTATTGATTTGTAGAGATGCTAAATCGTTATAGAGTCATTAAGCTATTGGCTTATCGGTTATTGATCGTTATCGATTTAACCGTTAAGTTTTTACACAAAAAAAATCATTGAAAATCACTTAGAAACAAGATGACAAACAAAATGAACCATGCACATGAGTTCACTAATTGCATCTTGCTCAAAAACAAACACTCTTACATTGTAGAATAACCAAGAGTTTGAGACAACCAGAAATAAAAGTAGAAAACTTAACTCTAAGTCAAGAATTTTATATACAAATTAGTATAAATATAATTATTTAATTTGCTATCGGGTTATCGGTTAACCCGTTAAGAACCGATAATTCAATAACAAAAAAAAAAATCAAACTATTATCAAAACCTCTAAACCAATAACTCATAAATCCATAACTTTTTTTAGTTAAAGTTATTGATTCCAATTCGATTTTGAATAGCCCTAATAAAATGTATAAATTCAAAATTTTGAATCCAACTATATTAGTAGTAAGTATATTTGTTTTCATTGATTAATGCATTAAAAGGGTGTTTGGATTGGGTTAAAAGTTGGTCAACCCTACTTTTTGGTCAATTTTTTACTTTTAGAAATGTTTGACAAGATCAAAAATGACTTAAAATAAGTCAAAAACACCAAAAGTTAGTTTTTTCCTACCTTTTTTAAAAGTTATTTAAGTTTGACTTTTTATATTTAACTCAAAAATTATATATTTTGCTTAAATCAATCCAAACAGGCAAAGTGAAGTCGGGATATAAAGTACCACATGGCTAAGTAGTAAAGGCCTTAACAATGACAATTTACTCTCCTTTTCTTTCAATAAAATACGTAGTTACTATTTATTGAAAAAAAAACAACTTATATTTCAATGTGTTTTTCTTTTGGTTATATTTTTTAATATTTTGTATAATGTTCATATGTCTATGAGACAATGCACAAGTTGGTAGGGTATTTTGAAAATCTCTTTCACATAAATGTCATTAAGTAGGGATGACAATGGGACACAGCAATACAACACAAGCAGGGCGGGGTAGTTTAGGAGTTTAATAAGGTGGGGGCAGGACACAGCCACAGAGGAGTGGACTAAGGAGTACTTAATCGACCAAAACAGAATAAGGAGAGTTAAAATACATTTTTAAAAAAAAGTATAAATAAGACAAGGTAGGATAGTAAGGCAACAAATAAACTGAAATTCAGAATTACATACTGATCGAATTTGCTATATTTTCTGGAATTTAAAAATAATTTTACAAACAAGCTATTTAATTAATCAACTCACAAATTCCTTGCAGCTT